AGGGATGCGTGAAAGTCCATCTGCCACGGCATTTTTAGTACCAGATACTCTCTCAACCGTGTAATCGTATAGCCGAATCCGTATTAACCATCGGGYGATGGTCGGGTCCGTCAGACTAAAGTCCTTCTGGAGGACAGAGGCAACCGCGGTGGGGTCTACTCTCAAGATGAACCGTCGCCCATAGATATAGTGTCTGAACGTGTCTAGACACYGGAGAACAGCTAACACTTCCTTCTTGAATTGACTGTAGTTACGCTCAACCGTATTAAGTATCCTGCTCTCAAATCTTAACGGTCTTTCCTTCCCTCCAGCGTCCTTCTGAGATAGCAAACCACCCACTGAACATGGTCCAGATTCATGGATACTATAAAGGGTCTCTTGGTCTCATCGTCAAAGAATGGCACACCCAACACGCGTCCTCCTTTCTTAAATTCGTCTTTAAGTTCTTGCATTGCGAGTTCCTGCGAAGCATCCCAGTAAAATTTTTCAGTCTTTCGAAGGAGTAACCTCAATGGCTCAGCCTTCTCCGCATACCCCCGTATGAATATACGCCAGTAACCGACCACTCTTAGAAACTGTCGGACCTCTGTTGGGCTATGTAACGGTGAGGGTCAGTTCAGAAGTTTGGCTAACTTCGCCGGATCTGCTCGGCGTCCTCTCGAGTCACATGTAAAACCCAAGATCTTAATAGTTGAGACGACCCATCGGCTCTTGGTTCCGCTGACTGTTAAATTCGCATCGCCCAGCTGCTCGAGTATCGCGCAAATCTTTGTTAGGTGCTGCTCGACGAATCTTCTAACTCCAGGTACAACCTCTGTCTCATCCCTGTCTACTGGCCCTTTTATATGAAAGTCATCCAGAAAAACTTCAACCTTATCAGGGATGAAGTCCTTGAGGACGGCTACCATGGCTCTCTGAAAAACGGCTACCCCATTAGTCCAACCCATAGGGACAACCATCATTTGAATTASTCCCAATGGCGTATGCATAGCCGTGAGGTGTCTGTCCCTAGGGTCAAGCGGTACCTCATCATAGCCTGAGAACAGATCACAGATCGAATAGATCGACCTACCTGCTGCGCCTTCTACCAGTAAATCGGCGTGTGGCACGGAGCCCACGTCTCGTATCGTCACCGCGTTGACCTTCTGAAGGTCCTGGATCCATCGGATCTTGCCATTCGGATTCCGTAGGAAGAACCATCGATTTGTATAAGCGCTATCAGACGGCTCCGCAACGTGGGAAACCATTTTTTCTTTCAGGAAAGCGATAACTTCTTCCTTCTCCTTCTGGGCGTATTTCCATCCCGCGTCGTTCCAGGGAACATGTGGTATCGTGTAAATCCTTGCTGGCTTAGCGTATCGAGGGTCAATCCTACCGCGCTCCACGTCGCTGAAAGCTATTGCCTTATCACATGTCTTCAAAATTTCTATCACACGTCCTCGCTCCTGTGGGGTCAGATTTTCATCTCCGATGTTCATCCCTGTTATTCTCTCTTCCGTTAGGCGTTGTGGCTCCTTTTTCTTTCTTTCTTTGATTTCTTTCGCGATCTCTTATTCTGATACCCCTTCCAATGCCGATCGCTCGCGGCCCACTGCCGCTGGCTTAACTTTTTGAGCTACTCACTCGTGTCGCTTGGGTAGCTCCCCATAAGGGGCCGTGCCCTTAAAAAAGACACGGATACCACACCGCCAAATTCCTCATCTTTTTCCTTCGGGTACGAGTTGCCGTTCACTATTAGCCGACTCCCTAAATCTTCCACCTCCACGATCCGACCTTCTTCCTCTGTGAGCAGTGGTCCATATCTCTTCTCGCGAAATCGCACCGCACGGCCGGAGATAGGTAACGACTTAATTTGATCACTGGGTCTTGCACCCACAACGAGAGCTGCTCTGTTCCTCGGGTCCCGAGGCTCCACTGTCTCAATCATCACCCGCGTCCCGTCTGGCTTCCTAATGGACAATGTTTGGCTCCCATCAGGTCGCTCTATCATCACCGCATGCACGTGGCTCAGCCACGTTCGATCCAAGAGCAGGTCGAAGCTACAGTTCTTGACCGCAAAGACAGGCAGGGTCACTCGTACCCCTTGGACCTTTATGGCTGCCTTGTGACAAATCCCAGTGATCTTTTGCTTTCTCCCATCAGCCGTCTCTATCTCGAATAGGTACGACCTGTCGAGGCCCATTTCAACCTGTACTGCTAGGTCTTCGTCTATGATGACAGCCTCACTGCCGTTATCGATCACAGCATCGAGTATCGTTCCATCGTTTATAATCGTCTTCACGGCCCCGCTACCAAGTATATAAAATTTGTCTGGAGGCACACCTTCCATTCCATCGAGAAGGACTGTTGCCATGCGATCCGCTCTGACAGTCACCCCCGTCACTGCTACTGTAGAAGCTTCCGCCTTAGGGGCCCCCTGACCCTCCTCCGATAGAGGTATGCGAGTCTTCCGCGTGATCATCTGTAACTCATCACGAGCCGGCTTCGATGCCGCCAGGTACTCTAGAATAGAGCACTGCATGGGTTGCCGAAGGGCCCGCCTCAGTGGCTCGACCGTGTCAATCTCGTCCAGCGAACTCTTCATTAAGAACTTCTTCACTCCCCTCTTTCGCGGCGAAAGGATAACCTCCTCTCCATCGACCCGCTGCTCGTCCTTCTCCATCATCACGTAGTCCATGTCAGACTTTTTCGATGTAGACCCTCTTGCCGACTTCGTGGCTGCCACCCTTATGGGTGTGGTCGCGATATCACCCTCAAAGGTTATCTTGATGCTCTGGCTCCTGATCGGCTCCATTCCTTTACTCGTCTTTATTCTCCTTGCTTCAACATTCTCCTTCATCGAGGGGAACATCGATACATCTGCCAGATCGTCTGCCCACTTGACGTACTTGCGGTCGTCAAGCACGACAAGTCCCTCATCTATTGCCCGTTTGAGGTCCGAGCAATCCCTCTTGATATGATCTTCTCCTCTACAGTAGACGCATGAGTTTCTGGGAGTAGATGCCCTGTCGTCTACGCCTCTAGAGATCGAACTCCTGGCCGCCTTGGGGTCAGGCGACTTGGGGTATGGTTCTGATGAGACGCCATATCCCCCTCTCTCATTCCGACCGCGTGAATCGTTGTGGCGGTCTCCTCCAGACCCTCCTTGCTCATACCGCCCTCGCGAATCATTCCGGCGGTCCCCCGAGTCATATCGTCCTCGTGACTCATCGCGTCGGTCCTCTCGGTTGTACCGTCCCCGCGACTCGTCGCGCTGCTCTCTCGCATCTCCCCCGCGCTCAAACCGTCCGCGTAACCCATCTTGTTGTTCCCAGTCCCGATCTCCTCTCTCATACCTACTTCCTCTGTAGCCATCTCGACCCGACCTCTCGTATCTGTCGTCCCTACATCCATCTTCTCGTCGGCCCTGATCTGTCTCCCATCGGCCGCGGGAGTCGCCTCTACCCCGATCG